GTGTGTGTGTGTGTGTGTGTGTGTGTGTGTGTGTGTGTGTGTGTCTCTGCACGGTTGCATTCTGTCTCCATTCATCCATGCGTTTGGTCAACCTTTAAGTCTTTGTACTTGTTTGATGGTTCGAGTGTATGTGCAAGTGAGCATCACACACATTTAGGGGTTTAGGGGTTGGCCTAATCTCTGCCATCCATGTGTGTGTTTGTGTGTCTTACCATATTTGTCTCCATCCTCTCCTCTGGCGCTGATCCTGCGTCCCAGCACCTGGACGTGCTTTCCACTGGTGCGGCTGTAAAGCTGGTAGACCCGATGGTGTCTCCGACTCATGGTGTCGCGCACCTGCGTCTGGTTCTCCACATGCACGCTGAAGTTGACCCCATCCACACCAAGTACCTGCTGGAACACCCACAGGCACGTCCGGAGTTTGGCAAAGCATATTTGAAGAAAAAAACAATAAGCGCCTTTGTTTGGCATGCATTCCGACCCTCACCTGCAATGGATTGCACATCACCAGCAACATCTGGATACATCTGGAAAAAACAGAAACAGATGACTTTAGAAATCTTGAACGCTGGAGGAGGCGGGCATGACACCATCATTTCCATTTCTTTCTTCTCCTCCGCTCTTTCTGTTCAACATCTTATTTCCTTCTTGGGTGATTATTCACACGGCTGGGCGTGAGATTGGCACGGCAACCTGACATACAGACAGGCAGATGTCCAGGAACTGAAGTACAGACAACACCCAGAGCTGTGTTTATCGTAACGCCACCAGCCTTCTGTCTGAACCCTACTTTCTGACCCGCCTTTGACTTTTGCCACGCCAAAATCTGGCCTGCAAATGACCCGACTGGACCGTGGCGAAATGGCAAACATGCCGAGACAAATAGAACATGCTTTGGTTCGGACATCTGAGGAAGCGGGCAGTCTCATTTGGCCGCTCTGCGTGTGTAGACAGCTGGGCTGGACTACAGGTGTTCATTCAGCTGTGATGTGGCTTTTGAGAGCAGCAGATTGTGGTTTTGCATGTTGAGAATGCCACGGAGAGGTGAGAACATGAGCTGCTAAACGTGTTGAAAAACAGTTCGTGGAAGAATCAGTTTGTGGTGGTGCTGTTCACAGAATTATGAAGCATTGTTTGTATGGCAAGTTAAAAATATACCATCATTACTTGTCCATCCGGTAAAACTTTTAGGGTGCATTTTGGAAGAAATGGCTGTTTAAGGTTAAAATTGATATTTTTCTCACTTAATTGACACGTAGACCTTGACCTTGAATGTATCCCATTATTTACGACTTTAGTAAGGGAGTGATTGTGTTGCAAAATCTTCTTTGGCAGTCCTTGAACAGTTCTGAATTAGTGGCTGAGCACTTGATGAAGTTCAGAACCAAGTGTGTGGGCTGAAAAGCAATTCTTCGAATTTTGTCTTTCTCCACCTCATCTTTTGCTATCTTTCAGCATGCCTCTTRTCTCTCTTTCTCTCTCTCTCTGGCTTGAAGTCCTCCCTGCTGTTCCTCGAACTTATCTCTCCCTTCCCGTCTTTCTGTCCACTCTACCTTTTCTGCTATCGTTCCGTGCCTCCAATCTTTTTTTTTATGTTTAGGGTTAGCAAGATGACTCCTCCGCACTGTCATGGGTGCGCACACAGATGTGCAGATGTGTGCAGGCTCAATGTGTGTATACAGGAGGAGCAGACAGCTGACAGCTGGGCCAAAGCAAAGACATGCTGAGAGAGGGAGATAGCAAAGAGTGGAAGGTAGATAGACAATGTTACAGGCAGAGTGTAGAGGAGAACTGAAGCTGAAGAAGGCTGAGGAGAAAATGTGACAAAATGTGGCAAGTGTGAGATGGAGAAGATGGGTTAAAATAAAACTCACCTAGTTTACGTATGTCAAAAGAAGAAAGAGACAAAGTAATCAAATTAAAGACAAAGGTGTGCGAAAGATGCCAGAAGTGGATAAAAGACAAATAATGGAAAGGGGGGAGGTGTTTAACTCCTGAACATTGTAACACATGTCCCTGCCTCTGGGCTCAGACACATGTGCCATCACAACCCTCTGGTTTCCTCTCGTTTTTCTCGCCTCTTGTCTCAACATTTATCTTCCATAGCTGGTGTGTTGGCTCCTCCAGTCGTTCCTAATAGATGCAGACATCCTGGGAAACGCAGTGGAGCATTGGCGCTCGCTTTTTTTGCCTGCACAGCTGAAAAACCTGAGCGCCGTGCATTGTGAGGACTCTCAGCTGTTAAAACACCACGGCTGCACTACTGCCGAGGACACTGTCGGAAAAGTGCCTCAGCGCTGGATTCCCCCGCTCCCACAAAAACCACAGACACTCCATGTTATGCCAGCTACAGAGAGAAAAAGAACGAGAGAGGAAAGAGGGAGACGGGATCGGCCGGTGGTGGGGGGAGGGATGAGAAAATGAGAAAATAAGAGAGTGCAGAGTAAAAAAGAAAAAGCAAAAAGTCCGGGAGAATAAAGACAGAAAAGAGGTATGGAGAGAGGGAAAGCCCGGTGTGTCCGGGCGGGCTGCCAAAACAAGCAGCTATCTGACATCATAAACCTGCGTCCCAGAAGATCAACCTTATGGAGGTTGTGGTCAGACAAGCAGGCCTCAGCACCACAGACTGAGCAGCAGCGTGGAGCGAGAGCAGTCGACCTGTGGGACTCAGCACAGAGCAGCGGTTTCAACCGTGTGTAGTAGCGGTTAACGTGGTACGCCAATGCTGAAGCACTGAGCTTCAGCACAGTTCAAGCGTTCCAAATGTTCCGCAAGCAGGCCTWGTAAGGCCCAGGATGCAGCCAAGATTGGACATAAAACGTGGCTTTCACTGAAAAGCGTTAACAGGTTGTTGTGACTAAAAGCCCTGATTTCTTTTAAATCTACTGAGAAATGAAGACGACATGAGAGGGAAGAAAAACTACTGTGGTAACACTGATAGGTGAGATGGAAGTTATTGGAGAGARGATTGGCTCTGGGCAATCTTAAGCAAAAGCAGCAGACTAAACAAGGAAAAGTGTTCTTCAAAAGATGCCAGGGGTTCATTCGTCAGTTATTAATTCARACTTTTAATCTAAGTATCTATACGAAAGAAAGGGGGGATATTATGGGCAGTAAAGGAGAACAGATGTAGCCAGTTAGGTAAGCAGAGAGAGGCTGAAAGAAAGAGGGAGAGAGGGGAAAAGGAAGGCAGGGAGACACAAGCAGCAGCACACACCCTGTTCAGGTTGTGCGAGGAATGAGAAGTATCTAGAGATGACTGCCATCTGGGAGAAGAGCAGCTGAAACAAAAGAAGACAAATAAATCCCTTGGCTTTTAAGAAGACACACCTTAAATGGGCAAACCCAGGGCCCCTTGAATCTGCACCCTTACATTTGGCATGCTAATATTTTCCTATTCCACAAGATAAAGTCTGTGTTATTTGAATCAACTTCTGAAATATTTTCAGAAGGAAAAAAAAAACTCAGCAATAGGAAAATGATCATTCCTAAGTCATCCCTGAAGTACGTGCAGATGGTGATGGAGATGTTTATGGCAAGTTTTATGAGTAAKATGGCCCTGTGTCTGACCCAGTGACCCTGAACTGTCAGCCAATCAAAACAGACCCACTCCACTGCCTGTTTTCTATAGGGACTGGTAGGGAATGATGTAACCGTTGACATTGCAACCATCATCTGCAACCCAGACTGTCCAAATAGGTTTCAAACAAATTAACAGATAATACGAACCTGAGCAAAGGGGTTAGATTACATAAAGAAAAACAGAACAAGTATTTTTAAGTGACTTACAAGACGGTCAACGTGGAAAGAAGGGGCCACATTGCTTCCCCCCTCCACTATGAAACTTGGACCAGAGACAGTCTCCTCGCTCGGTGTGATCCAGTCCGACAGTCCGAGGATTTTCCCTCCGCGCTGTGAATCTGATGGATGCTGCCCCGAGCCAAAGAGTTAAAGGTCACTCCTGTTGGCATCGGAGGGTTGGCGTTGTCCCCGGTCTTCCCGTAACTGCGCAGGTTCAGACGGTGATGATGTGAAGGGAGAGGGGSAAGAAGCCGGGGGGTAATTGTGCCACTCTGACCGCCGGGCAACCTTTCACAGCTGTCCTGGCCGGTGGAAGCACAGATGAGCGGGGAAGAGGTGGCAAAAAAAAAAAAAAAAAAAAAAAAAAAGGAAAAAAAAAAGAGAGAGAAAAAAGTTCGTCAGCTGTTAGGAACTGGGGTTAGGACCCAGAACGCCGACTGCGCGCGCTCCTGATGAGGAGGCGAACAGGTGAAAGCGCGTCCACGCGTCAGATAGCCAATAACAGTGGACCTTTCTGACCCTTGGAGCGACGCTTAACCCCGCGAGCAGATGCAGCMTGTGCGTAATCCGGTGCGCAACGTTCCAGCGCAACAGTCAGGTGTCCAAACTGAACTACACTCTTGGTGAGGTGATTCTGAGACGGTGAGTAATTGTCRCAACACAGACTGGAGCAGGTGGTGGATTTAGTCCCAGTAGGACCAGTTCAGAAGCTTTTGGAGGTGAGCTACCTGGGCTGGCTGATGGATCACACAGCGATCTGGAGAAGGGGACTCTGCCGGCGCAGGGGAATGCGAGACGACCTCGGTCATGTCTGCGCCCCCACTTTACGAGTCTGTAGCTCAGGTGACACCGACAGCGTTCGAGACAGAAGGGGATGAGGTGAGGCGGTCCAGCTCATGCAAATCTAAATTGGAGAGTGCTGATTTGGAATAGGAGGAGGATTATAAAAGAAAGACAGATGAAGGAGGGGTGGCTGGAGAGGATGGCAACAGCTGTGACTGGGTGGCAGACTCAGCCACCCGCGACACAGCGAGGAAATGGCATTCCGCACTTTGCACCTGATTTTCCGGACTTCCCCGCTTCCCGTTTTTTATGCCGCTGGTTTGCGCCTGGCTGCAGCAGTCCTCCGCGCGCCCTCTCCACACAATATAGGCCTACCTGCCAAAACACAGCGCGATGACATCACCTCTAAAATGTTTTAAGGGGGAAAATGCAATCCGATCTTTTTATTTATTTTTTTTATAAAAGGTAAAAAAAAAAAACATTCGGCAAAAGCACAAAGTCTTCGTTCCAAGAAAAAAAAAAATACAACTCTGAGGAGCGCAGAGGACCTCGCCAGTTTGTGAAGATATGAGCAAAAAGTTAAGAGTTAAGGCAAAGCCTGTTTACTTAAAGTTCTGCTGACAGATCGAKCTCTGGGGCAGAATCTGCTCTGCTCCCCCATATATCTGCCTCCCTGCTTCATTCAAACACCAGGAAAGAGAAAATCAAAAAATAAAAGAGCGCAAAAGGAACCCAGCCGTGCGCTTTTATCCACTTCACTGGTATTATGCAGATCTTCTTTTTTTCCCTTAAAAAAATCCAAGGTTTCCTATCTTTAAAAAAAGGGAAAAAAAGAAAAAAGAAAGAAGGCTGCTCTTTTTTGAAAGGAGGGGGGCTGCGCAGGAGAGGCGCGTCGGCAGGCACAGACCTCACTCCAAGAAAAACCAGAACAAGGTTTTAACAGACGCGGATCAATCCTCCCTCCCTCCTACCTCTCCTCCTACCCTCCCAACTCCTTCTGCTCTCTCTCTCTCTCTCTCTCTCTCTCTCTCTCTCTCTCTCTCTCTCTCTCTCTCT